CATAATAAATAAATATTTAAAAAAAAAAGAAACATTGCTGGGCCCTGGTGGCGTACACCTTTAATCCCAGCACATGGGAGGCAGAGACAGGGCAGCGTGGTCTACAGAGCAAGTTCCAGGATAACCAGAGCTACACAGAGAAACACTGTTTTGAAAAAAACAAAACAGAGCCGGGCGATGGTGGCGTACGCCTTTAATCCCAGCACTCAGGAGGCAGAGGCAGGCGGATCTCTGTGAGTTCGAGACCAGCCTGGTCTACAGAGCTAGTTCCAGGACAGGCTCCAAAGCCACAGAGAAACCCTGTCTTGAAAACAAAAAACAAAAACAAAAAAAAAAAAATGCTTAGGAAAGCAAGCATTGCAATGCAGGCAGGTTAACTGTGATTTAGCAGTTGGAGCTTCGTGGCTCCCATCTGCTTCCCCAAGCATGCCTAAGCATCCTGCTTTGCTCTCCTCTGCTCATTTAGTGTGTGCCTCATAAGAAGCTCCTAGCTGCCCACTCTGACTTACAGGTAAGGTTTATTCATCTGTTCATTTGTGTGTGGTATATGTATAAAGTATGTGCAGGTACACATACCTGTGCACACATGTGTGCAGGTCAGAGGAGGATGTCTACTGTCTGGCTCTGTCTCCAGCTCTGTCACTCTTTGCATTGTTCCCTGGAGACAGGGTCACTCAATGAACTTGGGGCTGACTAAGCTCACAGCCAGCAAACCCCGGGGATTCTCCTGGCTCCATTCCCTTTCACACTGCTAACACCATGCCTGGCTTTCTGTGTGGATGGGGAGGATTTGAACGCTGGTTTCCATGTCTGCAGAGCAAGTGCCCTTATCCACCAACCCACAAAGGGATAAATATCAAAGATAAGTTTTTCAAATCTAAAGTCACTTTTGAACCTCAGTTTCCCATTTTTGAAAAGTCAGAGCATTGATCCATTCCCTTCTGTGATAGCATCGTCAACTTGACAAAACCTAGAATTGTTTGAGCTCGAATCCTGCCTGGGGGGGGATTTTCTTGATTCTGTAACCTGACTCGAGAAGACACATCTTAACAGTGGGCGGGCTGGGCCGTGAAGGGAAGAAGGTGAGCTGAACACTAGCCAGCATTCATTGCTCTCTCTTAACTGCAGACATGATGTGACCAGCTGCTTCAAGCTCCCATTGCCTTGGCTTCCTCATCATGGACCGCACCTTGAACTTAAAGCCAAAATTCCCTCTGTCCTCTAAGGTGCTTTTGGCAGAGGACTTTACCATAGCAACAGTAAGCCAAGACGTCTTCTCTTTTGTCAAAACAGATGCCGGGACCCAAACCCTGGGCCTGCTTCTTGCTCCACCACAGAACTCTGGCATCAGCTCCAGGCAGGCCCTGCCTTTCTTACAGGGTAGACCAAAGGAACAAACACAAAGAGCAGGTGAATGTCAAACAAATTGGTGGCTCATGCCTTTAATCCCAGCACTTGGGGGCAGAGGCAGGCAGGTGAATATCTGTGAGTTCAAGGCCAGCCTGGTCTACAGAATGAGTTCTAGGACAGCCAAGGCTACATACACAAATAAACCTTGTCTCAAAACAAAACAAACAAAAAAGGATGCTCTCCTTCAAATTACGTGCAAAACCAGGCTTGGTGGAGCTTGCCTGTAATCCTAGCACTCAGGAGGCATAAGCAGGAGGATTGCTGCGAGTCTGAGGTCAGTCTACTCTACTTAGTGCGTTCCTAGCCAGGGCTCTAGAGTGATATTCTGTCTCAGGAAAGATCGATAACGTAAGATAAATAAGAGGCTGGAGAGATGGCTCCGTGGTTACGAGCACTGACTTCTCTTCCAGAGGTTCTCTTCTCAGAGCTCTTAGAGTTCAACCTCTTCGAGAGCCTCAATGAACCTGGGTTCAGTTCTCAGCTCACAACTGTCTGTAACTCCAGTTGCAGGTGATCCAACAGCATCACAGACATACCTACAGGCAAAACATCAATGCACGCAAAATGAAAATAAAGAGGTAATTAAAACAAGATAAACAATCAAATAAATAAAGCTGAGCACAGTAGGAGGTCCCAGCAGGAATCCAGCCAGGACTGTCCGAATGTTGGATTCTGAAGTTCCTCTGCTCTCCTTAGGCCAGCCCAGCCACTTTTTGCATTCTGAGATAAGACCTTTGGCGGGTGTTTCCCCTATCACTCCTTCAAGTGGGTGTGGGGACCTAGTGCTGTCAGAACCTGGGCATAGCAACAGGCACAAGATGGGCTCTAAGTACCCACGGTCCCTCCGATGCTGCCTGCCCCTGTGGGCCTTCGTGCTGCAGGTGGCTTTCATTATTCTCTTCTTTTTCATCTCCTATGACACCCCCCGAGTGGATCAGAAGTTAATGGAGACCTATCAAGGTGAGGGGCCTGGGGAAGTGGCCAAATGGGCCAGGGGTAGGGCAGGTCTGTGCTCTCCCTCCCACGGCACAGGTGTTCCTTTTCACACCTCTCCCAAAGGGGGCTCCAGCTGCACAGAGGTCAGCCAGTGTGGGCTGGGCTTTGTCTCTTTCATGAGCCCCAACTGGATTTGTGATCACGGAGCAGGGGAGCTCTTTGTCCGGTGTCCTGAATTCTCTATGCAGATGGTCTTAATGTTCTGCTTTTCTGGGGAGATGGCTCTGTGGGTAAGGGCACTTCTCTTTCTTTTATGGCAATGATTATCATGTTGTGTTGTGTTGTATTGTAGGGTGTCTCCCTTACTTGTTTCTTTAAAAAGTGTATTTGTATTTTTAATTAGGTGTATGTGTCTGTGGGGGGGGGAATGTGCAGATGAATACAGATGCTCATGGGAGCCAGAGACACCAAGTGCCCTGGGAACTGGAGTTACAGTAGTTGTGAGCCAGCCAATGTGGGGTGCTGGGAACTAAACACTGATCCTCTACAAGAAACAACCCCGGCATTGCTCGTCCAGTGCCCCCCTTGCTGGCTCTTTTCTCGTCTCCATTTCCCCTTTCCCTGCCTCCTCTCCAGGGCTGGAAAGCCTGCTTTGGGTGGGAATCCCCAGCCAGGAAGAATGGCTGGAGGAGGGGGATGGTTACTTTATGTGTTGCTGTGGAGAGAGTAACCAGGAACAAGGCACATTCCACAGAGGTGTGTGCTTTGCCTCAGTACGAAACATCCTGGCGTGTCTGAAACTTCTCCCGGGCTGCTCATGGTAAAAAGATGGACCTGTGAAGGGTGTCTCCGACACAGAGCTGCAGCCCAATTCTGGCAGAGGGAGGGGGACTTGGCTTGGGGCTCCGTGATGTGAAACTGACCCACTAGCTGAAGCAGAGGAGTGCTTCCAAAGGCTCCTGGTACAGGTCTAATTCCTTCTCGTTCATTTCTTTTAAATCCAATCCAATGTTAGCCAGGCGGCTAAGCAGGCTCACGTTTTTAATCCCAGCACTAGGGAGGCAGAGGCAGGTGGATCTCTGTGAGTTCAAGGCCAGCCTTGTCTACGAGTGAGTTCAGGATAGCCAGGGCTCTGTTACACAGAGAAACCCTGTCTCAAACAAAAACAAAAAAAATCTAACCCAATGTTTGTTTTAACTCTGTTCATTCCTGTTTCTCCACTAAGTCGTGTGTCNCACAGAGAAACCCTGTCTCAAACAAAAACAAAAAAAATCTAACCCAATGTTTGTTTTAACTCTGTTCATTCCTGTTTCTCCACTAAGTCGTGTGTCACAGACATCGTAGGGTCTGGACATGTGGAGCTCTTTACTGTCTACCAGGCAAACAGCTTCCCATTGGCTCTCACAACAACCCAGGGAGGCAGGCTGCTATGTCCTCCATATCTCACTAAGGAAATAGGTACAGATGTTAAGTCATTGGCCCAGGGTCACCTAGCAGGCATTGGCACAGCAAGTTGACAGTCAGGCATGCTGGCTTTAGTTGCCTGTGCCTGACCATTGTGTCTTATGCCCCCTGTCATGGTAGGACTGAGTCACTTGTCCCCTAATCAGTAGGCGTGGGAGCCACTAAGGCAGACTGATGCCTGCAAGCTGACCTCTGACTTCTATATGTCCCAGATTAAAAAATAAATGAATGAATAAATGTAATTCTTAAAAATTCCATAATGAAACAAAAATTAAAAATAAATAAATAAATAGGACTGGGTAAGATGACAAAGTGGTTAAAAGCCAGAGGCCCCAAGTCCAATTCCTGCCGTACACATTTGTAACTCCAGTTCTGGGCGTCCAGTACTCTCTTTCGGCTTCCTTGTTAACCTACACAGAGCACACACAACATACGCACACACACACACAGCGCACACCTACACATAGCACACACATGTGCGCATGCACGCACATGTGCACACACACACAGCACCACACAGTGCACACACAAAGCACGTACACACACACACTAAATCTTCAAATGAGTAAATAAAAAGGATTGAAAGCAGCGCTTGGGAGGCAGAGGCAGGCAGCCTCTATGAGTTCAAAGGCCAGCCTGGTCTATAGAGTAAGTTCCAGGACAGCCAGGGCTCCCCAGAGACATCCTGTCTTGAAATACAAAGAAAAAAATAACATCTATAGATAGATAAATACTATCAGCTTTTATTACTAACCAGCTTCAGTTTCTTATGTTTTAGATAAGAAAAAAAATAAACTTGGAAGTGCTAATGTTTTCTTCCATGAAGCTCTAGGGACTGTCTTGGGCACCTTCCAAGGCTCCATGCTCTGATGGCCATGTATGGATGACCGGTAATGGAGCCAAATAGGCAAGAGATGAGACAGTAGAAGCAAGAAGTTCAATTGAAGACACATTTAGATGAAAATCACCTTCACTTGGGCGGGGGGGGGGGGGTGAGGCAGGAATACTACAGACGTGATTGGACAATAGCTGTGTCCATTTCTACTGCTTTTCTGTTATTCTGAGGAAACACCACGATGAAGACAACTTCTAAAAGTGAGCCTTTCTTTGGGCTTATGGTTCCAGAGGGTTGGAGTCTGTATTGGTGGAATGAAGGTAAGGTGGGAGGAACAGCTGAGAGCTCACCTCTCAAAGGCTCACCTCTCAGGAGGCTGAGAATGTCGTCGGGAGGGCAGGAGGTATTTGAAGCCTCAATCTGACCCTTCTCCAACAAGGCCACAGCTCCTGATTATTCTCAAACAACAGAGTCACCAAGGAAGGAACGATTATTTAAAAATTCAAGCTTGTGGAGGCTATTCTCATTCAAAACGCCACACTGTGCCAATTCTTAAGAAACACAGCCTTCAGCCCAGGCAGTTGGTGGCGCTTGCCTTTAATCCCAGCTCTGAGGAGGCAGAGGCAGGTGGATCTCTGTAAATCTGAGGCCAGCCTGATCTACAAGAACTAGTTCCAGGACAGGCTCCAAAGCTACAGAGAAACCCTGTCTCAAAAAAAAGAAAGAAAGAAAGAAAGAAAGACAGACAAATACAGAGGCCAGATGTGGTGTAAATGCAGAATGACACATTCATTCTGGACATTGAGGTGTCTGTGAAATGCTTAAGGGAAGCAGAATCTGTCAGTCACCCATAGCTGTGTAACAACCATCCCTAACTTCAGTGCCTTAAGATAGCAACCACGTCATTTACCCACCTCCATGATTCTGTGGCTTTGCCATGTGGTATGCTTCAGCTGGCAGTTTCACTTAGGGTCATTCACTTATTCAAAACCTAGGAATTTTACTGGGGCAAGATGGCTCCACCTGCCCCCATTTCCCCATGGAGGCAATTAGTGTCAGCTGGGAGCAGCAAGCCAGCCCAGACTTCACATACCTACAGAGGAGTTCCAGCAGCAAGTGAGAACAGAGCAGAAGTGTCTGTAAAATGTCCACTGATACCCCATTGTCTGCAGTGAATTACAAGGCCAACTCATGTGGGAGCAGCCTTCGTCCAGAGGCTCCACTGGGGGCCATTGCCACAGACAGCCCATCCTAGGGCTGCCAAACTGGAGAATTATCTCTTGGGCCTTTTGCTTTACAAGCCACTCATCAGCCCCCTGTGTAGCACGATCAATAAAAACCCAGGGACAGAAATTGGGGTTCAGCCTGAAGGTCAGAAAAGCAAAACAGCCAGCCCCTGACTCTTACCTCGTCCACACCAGGAATCCTCAGAATGAGACTGTGCCTGAGAGCTGTCTCCTCCTGTTTTATATTCCTCTCTAGTGCTGGGATTAAAAGTACGCACCGCTACCGCCTGGTTTCTGTGGCAAATTAGTGTGGTTACGTGGATTAAAGGTGTGTGTCACCACTGCCTGATCTGTATGGCTGACCAGTGCGGCTGTTTTACTCTCTGGACTTCATACAAGCTTTTATTAAAATACAAATGAACGATCACTACACCCCTGCTTTCCTCGGGGGCAGGGAAAGGGGCTTATGGGAAAATAAGAGGGCTTTCCCAGGGCCAAGTGCACCACAGCTTCTCAGGGAAGCTCCATTTCCCTTCTGAGCCTGTTGGGGCAATGGTGGGATGGGAGTGAGCAGAGACTGGGGAAGGAGAAGGCACAGAGTGCTAAGGTCCCCAAGGCTGTGGAGTTCCTCCCCTGAGTCTTGTTCCCTACCAGGAGGGACAAGAGTAAGTGCATGGGCAGGACCGGAAGGGAAAAGAAGAGGTCCGGGTGGACAGATTCAAGGGCTGACCTGCAGTTATTCAAATACATAGGCACAAGACTAATAATACATATCAGGTAAGGCAAGCATGGGTACTCCGGTCACAGCACCAAACCTTGTAGGAGCCAGTAGGTGCCCCTACTCATTTTACAGATTAGGAAACTGAGACACACAGAACCAGGCCCTAGCCATGACATGCAAACTCAGAGGTCACACCACACGTGTAGGATGAAGCAAGAGGGTGTGGAGTTCGAATCTCTCTGTCTCCATTTACCAGTGGTGTGACCTGATCCAGGCACAGCAGCCTTCTGGGCCTCTCTTCTTCCATCTGTAAAATAGGAAAGATAAGTGGTGATGACAGACTGAGGAGGAGAACAGATCTGGTCATGAGGATGCTGGGGACTGCCTCCCTCGCCTCACTGCTGGCCTCCCAGGTCCCAGAAGGCCAGACTCCAGCAGTGAAATTCCTCTTGCCGCCCAGTGCTCTCAACTCCTTATCACACCAAACACCTTGCAGGCCACTAGTTTATCAGCCCTGGGGCAGAGCTGCTCTGAGAGCTGCCGCCCATGGGGGAGCCCTCTGAGTGGGACTCTGGGGTGGGGGTGGGAAAGGGCAGGAGTGAGCCCTGGGAAGAGTAAGTCTGAGCCTGGATCCTCAGGATGCTGGAGAGGAAATGGGAAGCAGGGCAGGCTGGGGTGGAGGGTGGGAAGCCAGATGCTGTAGCTAACAGCTGGACTGCACAGGTTCCCGGAACAGTGTAACTGGAAACAGCCATGCTACATTTCCTCCAGCCTAAGGCACCAGTTCCTTCCTCAGGGACCCCGTGAGGCCTCAGGGAGGAAGGTCAGGGCCCCTATACCTGGAATTGGTGGCAGCTGGGTCAGGAAATGCCTCGCCCCACCCCATCCTCTCATTTTCTAACCTTCAGGCCGGACTCAACCCTCTTCCTCTCTTACCCTCCCCTAACGCCTTCTTCTTTAGAATGCCCCAAGGCTCTAAGAGCACCTAGACTATCAAACCCAATCTTACGGTTTCCAGAGAGGGAAACGGAGGTTCAGAAAGAGCAAAAGGTTTGCCTGAGATCCTTTAGCATGGTGAGGTGAAAACCAGAGCTAGAGGCAGCCTCCCTGGAAGAAAGGCGCCCCCGTACCTGTCAGAGCTGAGCTCACTACGGGTGTGCTGTGTGGTCCTGAGAAATCTCACTCCGGTAGTCCCCGTAGACGTGTGTGTGACAACCACATCATTACAAGCGGAGGGACAAGTGAGCAGCATCTGATGGCTTTTTGTTCTCAAGCTGTCTCCCTCCTTCCTAGTATGCTAAGGCCTCAGAGTGATTTGGAGTTGGTTTTGGTGATAACTATGTTGTTTTATTTTTTGAAATTTTATATATGTGTTTGTCTACATATATGTCTGGGTACCACATGCATGCTTAGTGCCTGCAGAGGCCAGATGAGGACATCAGATCTGCTGAAGCTGTCACAGGTGGTTGTGAGCCACCATGTGAATGCCGGGAACTAGATCTGGGTTCTCTTCAAGAGCAGAAGATGCTCTTAACCGCTAAGCCATCTTTCCAGTCCTCCAGGTGTGTCCCAGGCTGGCTTTAAACTTCTGATCCTCCTGCCTCTGGCTCCTCAGCCATCAGTCTGCACCACCACGGCAGGCAAAGTATCTTAAGTAATAAAAGGGCGTGCACTGTTTTATGGTAGGGAAATGAGTGTACAAGTAGAGGCAATTCTCAACTGTCCACGTGAACTCACACAGATGGAAGGAAGATAGCAAAGCAATGAGTTATGCGTATCTGCTAATAAATCTCACACAGCTGTCAAGGGAGGGGAAACCTGTGCAGGCATCATCCCTGTGGAAAATGGTCCATGTCTTCTGGGAAAACAGCCTCTCCAGGCACCTCCCATTTTCATCGTAGGAGTCTGAGGAGGGGGTGGAATTGTTCCCATTACACCGGTGAGAACCAGAAGGGAAGAAGAGGTGTGGAAGCTGTGGAATGGCTCCACCAATGGTCTGGGGAAAGACTCTACCCTCGGCTCTACGGGAGGCAGGTTGCTTCACTCCTCCTCGTGGAGGCTTCCACGTTCATAAACAGCCACTGAAAGGGCAGGCGCAAGAAGACAGGAGACAGCTTAGGGGAAGCAATCCACTTGGGCTGGACTTTCTCATCACTGTGGCTAATATTGAGAGGAACCGTTTAAAGGGGGCGAGATCGCTTGAGTTTGTGGGCAGCTGGCTTCCGTTGTTTGCAGGCCGCGGTGAGACAGACAGAACACCATGGGGGAAGGCTAGATAGAGCAGGGATGCTCACCTCATAGCAGCCAGGACACTGGGAGGAGCAGCATGGAGGGGCCCCGGTGCCAAGGCATTGCTACCTGTGCAGAGACATTCTGCTGACCTCCTGGGCGTCTCTCAGTGCGGTCAAGTTGCTGGTCAAGATGCGTCACTGGCTGTTCGCGTGCATTTAGCATGGGTTCCTCTAAAGCTCAGAGAGAGGCTGAGTTCCAGATTCGACCGCACAGCTAGAGCGGGCCCAGTTTCACCAAACCCTCTGCAGTACACCAGAATCACATTAAAGTCCCCCCACCCCTTTGTTCTGCTGGGGCCTGGGGGAGATGTGGGGGGAGGACTTTTGTATTCTTCTGTCTCAGCTGCTCCTGTTGGGGCCCTGAGGCAGGGAAGAAATTTCCTACTGGCCTACCAGGTCCCTCGCAAGAACTGGGAAAGAGGCCAGGCGGTGGTGGTGCATGCCTTTAATCCCAGCACTCGGGAGGCAGAGGCAGGTGGATCTCTGTGAGTTTGAGACCAGCCTGGTCTACAAGAGCTAGTTTCAGGACAGGCTCCAAAACCACAGAGAAACCCTGTCTCAAAAAAAAAAAAAAAAAAAAAAAAAAAAAAAAAAAAAAAAAAAGCTGGGCGGTGGTGGCGCACGCCTTTAATCCCAGCACTTGGGAGGCAGAGGCAGGCGGATCTCTGTGAGTTCGAGTCCAGCCTGGTCTACAAGAGCTAGTTTCAGGACAAGAACCAAAAACTACGGAGAAACCCTGTCTCGAAAAAGAAAAAAAAAAAAAAAGAACTGGGAAAGAATCATCTCTCTCTCTCCCCTCTCTCTCCCTTACTTCCTTTTCCTATTTTTTTTAAACTTTCATCATGGGCAGTGATGGTGCACACCTTTAATCCCAGCAATTGGGAGGCAGAGGCCGGCCGATCTCTGTGAGTTCAAGACCAGCCTGGTCTACAGAATGGGTTCCAGGACAGCCAAAGCTACACAGAGAAACCCTTTCTTGAGAAAACAAAAACAAAAAACAAACTTCCATCATCTGTATGTGTGTGCACACACCTGTGTGAATGCTTTTGTAAACAGGCCCTGTGGAGGTCAGAGGACAACCTTCAGGAGTTCATGGACTCCACTGTGGATTCAGGAGATCAGAGTCGGGTCCCTTTTCCACTGATCTGTCTCACCCACATTACCTGCTCCTGAAGAAGATGACTTGGCTTGTGCCACAGGACCTCCGAGGCCACCCGGTCTTCTCTTTTTTTGTCTCACCAGGACGGCTCAGCTGTTGAGGCTGCGTGTACCACAGTGGCACAGTGGCAGCCCGCCCACAACCCCAGAGCAATTAATTACCTTCACTGAATGCCGGTGATGGGCCAAGCGGGGACCCTCACGCTGCACTGTCTGCATCAGAGTGTTTATTCCTCACAACCGAGGCTCATTTCCTGTGCTCTCCCATCTGCCTGAAGCACTTTACCAACTTTCTCTCCTCTACCCCACCTCAGCCCTGTGTGCTCAGTAGTCATGGCCCCGTTACTCAGATGAAAAAGCTGAGGCCCAAAGAAGCGAAGCAGTTTGACCAAGTTCCTGTAAATGCTCTCAGACGTCCCTTCCAGCGGCCATTCTGTCCAATTCTCACCTATTCCTCCTTTTCAGTCTTCCAGGATTTGACCCTTATGGCAGCCTTGGGCTTCGGCTTCCTTTCCTCATCTTTCCGGAGACACAGCTGGAGCAGTGTGGCCTTTAACTTCTTCATCTTGGCCCTCGGGGTGCAGGGGTCGATCTTGCTGGAGCGCTTCCTGAGCTGGCCTTTCGTAAAGGATGTGGCCATCAATCTGTTCAGGTAACTGAAAGCAGCTGGGTTGTTTTGGGTGCTTAGAATGCAGCGAGGGAAAGTTCTAGACGACCAGGGCATCTCTCTAGCTCTGACGGCACAAAATACTTAGGGCAAACTTTCTAGAAGATTTTTATTATTTATACAAAAATCCAATTTAACCGGGCCCTATTGGGCATTTCCAACTCTGTGGTACCCCAGGCCTCCCCGAATTCTCCCTATTTTGTTCTTAATGATTCTGATTGTATAAAGTCATACACATTTGTAGAAAAAGTAAGAAAAGGAGTAGACACAAAACAAAGCAGAAAACAGAACTGTTGCCCAGAGAGACAGCATCTTAAAGAAAAGGAAGGGTGGGCAGGAGGTGCGGCTCCATGGTGGAACAGTTGCCTAGCATGTACATCAGTCCTGGGTTCCATGCCAGCCTGCGAGGAGAAAACAAAGAGGAGGAGGAAGAGGCAGAGAGAGAGAGAGAGAGAGAGAGAGAGAGAGAGAGTTGTGGGTGATTTTTATTAGATTAGAGAGTTGAGTGAGAGAGAGTGGCAAGAAGAAAGGCTCAGTTCTGAGATGCTGGTAGACAGGAAATAACCACACTTTTATTTTCTGTAAACTAACATCGATCCCTGTAGTCGTAGCTAAATGAGATGGTACAAACTGGCAAAACTAACCTGTGACGCTAGACGTCACAGTAGTGGTTACCCAGGCAACAGGTGCGTATTGATTAGGAAGGAGCGCCACAGAACCTGTGGGCTCAGTGACCATTCTCTGTGTTAACCCGGATGATGTTTCTATAGGGGGAAATCAGATTGATAAACGACAGGTGATTAATAGATCTGAGATGATTAACACGTGATTAATAGATACAGATTAGTCAGGGTTCTCTAGAGGAACAGAACCAATAGGATGAATACATGTATATATATACATGTATATATTTACACACATATATTTAGAAATAAGAATTTATTGATTTCGGTTACATTAAAATAATATTAACAGAGCTGGGAGGTGGTATCGCACACCTTTAATCCCAGCATTCGGGAGGCAGAGGTAGGTAGGTAGATCTCTGGGTTTGAGGTCAGCCTGGTTTACAGAGTGAGTTCCAGGACAGCCAGGGCTACACAGAGAAACCCTGTCTTGAAAACAACAACAACAACAATAATAATAATAGAAATAACAGGTATCTCACACCTGAGAGGCAGAGAACACTTGTTGCTGCCACCAACAAGTTAGTGGCTGTCACACTCCAGGGACGGACAGCCTCGTACTTGCTCAGTCCTGGAGAGCGCTGGTCCTTAGTCCACAGTGGAAGTCTGGAAATGCAGGTTCTTTCAACTGCAAAGGAATCAGCAGCAGCAGGGAGCATCATTCTGCAGCAGAAGGGAAGGCTGGGCCAGCGGGGAGGCAAACAAACTTCCTCCTGACTGTCCTTTTCTGTCTGGGTTAATACCCGGCAGGCACCTCCCACACTCTTCCCACAGCAACTAGCAATTAAGAAAACGCCCTTCAGGCCAATCTGATGGAGACAGTTCCTCAATTGAGGGTCCCTTCTACAAGATGATTCTAAACACAGATAGGCGTAGACAGTTCCTATGGGGCTCTATACTACTTTAAAAATATGCTGGATACTTGATAGAAAGAACTAGGAGACATTTTCCGTAAGAATGCTTTCTTGGCTAGATGCCGTGGTGCACAACTTTGATTCCAGCTCTCGGGAGGCAGAGGCAGGCAGCTGAGTTCCAGGCCACCCAAAGCTACTTGACTAAAGCCCCACCCTTCCCCCACTCCACCCCCCATAAAAGTAAGTTTTTGTTTTGTCCAACCTTGAATTGCTAAGATTCAGAGTCAAACCTTGGGACCTTCTCAGGCCCTGTCAAGGACATCCTAGCTTTCCCTCTCAGGCCCTTGCTAAGGCTTCTGGGACTTGTCCATGGACAGTAAGCTTTCTGTGAGCCAAACACTGTGTTAGATGTGTCTCCTTAGCCCATCCAGGGTCAAGGTCCAAGCTCATCCACAGGTAAAGGAATGGAGGTTCAGAGAGGGTAATAATCCTATGACGTGGCTGGGGTCATAGGATTCTAACTTCCTTCCAGCCTTTCCAGTCACTCAGAGCAGTCACCATGTAAAATTGTTCGTTCCTTTTTTAAATACTGTAGAGGGCTGAGGGACTGCCCCGAGTTAGCAGGCTTTTGCTTAAGGCACATAAAGCCCTGGGTTCTACTCCCAACACTGCAAAAACAAAACAAAACAAAAAACAGGTCATTAAGACACACTCAGTAATCCCAGCGCTTAAGGGGTAGAAGCAGGAAGATCAGGAGTTCAAGGTCACCCTCAGCTACACTAGTGAGTCTACTGCCAGCCTGGGCTAGCAGACAGCCCTTCTCTAAAATACCCCTTTAAATAACTCTTTCAAGGCGTAAAGCTACCTGCCTGTGGGTATTGCATACCCCCTGGGTTGTGTCAAAGGACACCCTGAGGTTCTCACACAGCAGTACTGGGCTGGGGCTTCTGTTTAAAGTTGCACAGGTGTTAGCCTTTGGCACACAAATTGGAATTGGGGGCATTTCAGGATGTTTACCTATCATGGAACCTGTAACAGGGACCTGTTGTCCCTCCCTGCCACCCAGCCGCCATCCTACCAAAAACCATTTGGATCCTCCTGACTGAGACTTAGCTGGGCTTTGCAAGACTGAACAGTGGCACCCACCCGCCTGACAGGCCAGGCTGGGCTAGTGGGCTTTGCCTGACCTGTTTCCTGCAATAGGGACAGAGACCCTGCTCTCCCTTCAAACCATAAGGACTTGGTAAGTGCTCATTGGGATAAAAATGAAAACAAAAGGCCCTTCAGTGAGCGATTTCCACCCCACTGCATGCCTGGTGTCGGGGATCAAACCAGGGTCTTGCAAATGTTAGGCAAGACCTTTGCTCAGCGCCAGCCCCAACCATTGGTGCTTTGTTTTTCCATGACATAGGCTCAGGGAGCACAGACAGGTCTCAAATTCACTATGTATCTGAGGGTGGCGTTAAACTTTGAACCTCCTGCCTCAACCGTCTGAGTGCTGAGATTACAGGTGCACAGATTACAGGTGCGCATGCCTGGTTTATGTGGTGCTGGGATCTGACTCAGGGCTTTGTGCCAACTGAGCAAAACCCCAGGTTCCATGGGTGTACTTTTTAAAAAAGTATTTATTTACTTGTATTTTATGTATATTTGGTATTTTGCCTGCAAGTATCTCAGTGTGAGGGTATCAGATCCCCTGGAATTGGCATTATGGGCAGTTGTGAGTTGCCATGTGGGTGTTGGGAACTGAACCCTGGTTCTTTGGAAGAGCAGTCAGTGCTCTTAACCACTGAGCCACCTCTCCAGCCCCAAGGGGTGTACGTTTAATTGTATACCCTGAGTGGTTCTAGAAGATTCTCCCTAGAAGGTCCTGGCAATGCCCAGCTTCCTTGTTGTATCTGCCATGTGTTCATGAATTCTGCTCTTACTTTGACCCCAGGTGTTATTACATGAAGTCACAGAGGCATAGAGTGTATTTCAGGTCTCACTGTCAGGACATGGCTGTATCAAGCCTTTTAACCACCTTAGTTCAGGGTCTTGCTGTCACTTGTCACAGGTCTGAGATCTCATGACTGGCCCACTAATGTTTGAATTGAGCTTGTCAATGCACTGAACACTTGCCTGCCGAGCATGGCCTGTGTAGACAGTGACACACCAGGTTCCCCAATATACTGTCCCTCCTGGTCCACGTCCCCATGTCCTGCTCTTACTGTCCCCTCACATTCTTGAACCTCAGGAACAGCAGCAATGAAGACCAGGGAGGCTGCATCCCTTATATCTAGGGACTTGACCTTAGGGCCTTAGATCTAGGCCATCTGGGCTTGAACCTCATCTTTGTTAGCAGGATGTAGTAGTGGCCATCCTTCCGGTTCCATGCCCTCTTGTACACGATGGGGGCAGGGGCACATGACATTGTGGTAACCTAGTACCACCCTGATGGAGGACTGACCTTTAAGCTCTGGCACTTCACCAGCCTCATCCATCCCAGCACAGCTGGGATAATCCCTAGGGAGGAGAGGTTTCAGAGGAAGAGGGGAGGAGCAGCTCAGTGCCACTTCCCCCTCCCCCAGGAAGCCCTCCATGATAAGTCCAGTTGGCACAGTTAACTCAGGAAACCCTATATCTCTCCAGCCAGACCAGAAGCGCTTTGAAGATTCAAAAGTGGATTTCTCTGCCCGAATCCTCACATTGAGCCTGCACATTTGTCCAGGAGAGGAAGGATTTGGATCTTCATGATGCCTGCCTCTATTCATGAATTCCCTTTTCACATGTCTACCAGTCTTTGTGTTAGATAGATACACGTATACAAAGACTTCCTTCTAACCCCTGCCCCAGCTCTGGCAAACAAACGTTGTCATTCTTATTTTCCAGGTGGATGCTTTATGGGGATTAAGTAGCTGCTTGGGTGGTAGAGCTGGGATGGGAAGCCAAATTTATTCTACTTCCAAACTGCCAAACCCAGGCTCCACACATGGAGGAGAGAAAGGAGGACCGTGGCGGGCCAGCGGGTGCACAGCGCCCTCTATGGAACATCTGAGAGCGGCGACAGCAGAAAGGAAGTGTGGGGTTGGGGTGGAACTCAGACAGCTGCGGTGTCCCTGGGGAAGAGGCAGCCACTTTAAATCACAGTGACATCGGTAGAAGAGGCACGGCGCCTCTGAGTACCACTGGAGTGTGCAAGGACCTCAGGTGACATCCTGGTGAGGGACAGGGCAGGAGAACCTGTGCTGTTGCAGAAACCCTCGTGCGCGCGTGCGCATGCGCGTGCGACCTGCTGAATGAGAGGTACTCTTCCTCACAGGGTCTCTCTCCTCCCTCAGCATCCGGACAGCTACGGTGAGCACAATACCTGTGCTCATCTCAGCGGGCGCTGTCCTTGGGAAGGCCAACTTGGTGCAGCTGGCTGCGATGGTGCTGGTGGAAGCTGCAGCCTTCAGAGCCGTCAGGCTTGTTGACAAGAAGTTCTTCCACGTGAGTCCCAGGGCTGTGAGGGGACCTGGGAGAGCGTAGGGGGGTAGGATGCTGCCCCACCTTGACAAGTTTTGGAGTTTTGAAAATAAAGCTAGGCCCCGAGTGGAGCTGAAAGTGCTTAGACGCCACTGAAGGTTAAACACCGTGCGTGGAGGCCTTGAGCGGCGCGAGATTACTATGGGATGCGTACAAAAGATGAATTCCCAGAGCGTATTAGCCGCAGAGTGTGTTGTATTTTTCATATATGGCTTTCAGGCTGGTCCAATTATTCCAACAATGACTGTCTCCTGATAGAAAGCCCAAGGGTCCAGTAGTTTTCCAGCCCATGAGGCTGATGTTTCACTGGCCTTCAGTATGCTAAAGAGTATCCTAAAGAGGTAGGCTCTAATGACGATGAAGGAATGGACTTGCCAGGGAGACTGAGAGCAAGGGCTTCCTTCTCCTTTCTCCTTCATAGAGGCTGCCAATCAGGAGTGGCCTAGATTTAAGAGGGATTTTCCCACCTCAAAAGATTGGGACTTGGGGGCTGGAGAGATGGCTCAGCAGTTAAGAGCATTGCCTGCTCTTCCAAAGGTCCTGAGTTCAATTCCCAGCAACCACATGGTGGCTCACAACCATCTGTAATGAGATCTGGTGCCCTCTTCTGGCCTGCAGGCATACACGCAGACAGAATATTGTATACATAATAAATAAATATTTAAAAAAAATTGGGACTTAAAGCCGGGCGATGGTGGCGCACGCCTTTAATCCCAGCACTCGGGAGGCAGAGGCAGGCGGATCTCTGTGAGTTTGAGACCAGCCTGGTCTACAGAGCTAGTGCCAGG